GCACGAACCCGTGTCCCCTGCATCGGTAGGCGGACTCTCAACCACTGCGCCACCAGGGAAGCCCCTGTCATGTGATTTAAAAGGAGCCTACAGAATCATGTTAATCTGTTATAATGAGGCCATACTTTTTGAAAGTTGCTTTTGTGCAAAAGTAATTTTATCAGTGAGATAGAGAACAACTGAAGGTCATCTTAAACGTTCCCTACAGAAAGAATAAAGAAAGCGAAGTAAATATTACAGGGGCATACTCTTTCTTGAAATAGAAGATTGTACATACAGCTAGAACACTTAGACCGTTATTAAAAATGAAATTAAAATGGGAGATACCACATTACCTTGAGTTCTTCAAATTGAAAAGACATGAAGAATTCAAACTAGAAAATGTCAGTGAACTCCAGCTTCCTTCCTTCCTCCCTCTGTCTTTTCTAAAACAAAAGCAACAGTATGTTATAGAAACAAGATAATTTAAGATATAGAAAAATAAAAAAAAAATGGAAAGAATGAAGACTGATATTAATGCAGACTTTAATTGGAAAATAAAATTGAGATTACTTTAAAAAAGTTAATCGGGCTTCCCTGGTGGCGCAGTGGTTGAGAGTCTGCCTGCTGATGCAGGGAACACGGGTTCGTGCCCCGGTCCGGGAAGATCCCACATGCCGCGGAGCGGCTGGGCCCCTGAGCCATGGCCACTGAGCCTGCACGTCCGGAGCCTGTGCTCCGCAACGGGAGAGGCCACAACAGTGAGAGGCCCGCATACCGCAAAAAAAAAAAAAAGTTAACCTCTATTTGTTCTATCCATAGCCAAACAAGCAAATAGAAACCCAATACACACAGCCTTAACAATATAACAAAAACCCTTTTATTTGTTTGAAGTTAAACTTTGCCCCTTTTTTCCCCTTTACATTCATTTGACTCCAGATAGCTAATAGCAGTTCTTGAGAGTTAATGAGTGTTTGGATTCACAGGAATTAGGACTTCACAGTAGAGCAGCAAAGCATAAAGAATTAAAAAACATTGTTCTCAGAAGACCTGTTTCTCTTTAGCGTACTAAGGCAGAAGGAAGTCTGAGGGCAGATTGCACAGTTAATGACTAGATATCACGACATTTCCTTGAAGCTAAAGGAATGTTGATGTGTTTTTTGTCAGCATTTTCCTTACTTTAATTGTGATTTTCATGCAGATGCTTAAGAAGTTCATTGAGATGATCTACAAATAACCCTCCTGAAAGCCATACATACAGTATGCAGGGCTCATACAAGTGTTCTCTCAGAGTACAGCTAAAACATTTCAATCCTGACAAGTCATGAAGACTCTACCCTGTGCTCATTTTTTTGTTTTAACATCTTTATTGGAGTATAATTGTTTACAATGGAGTGTTAGTTTCTGCTTTATAACAAAGTGAATCAGCTATACATATACATATATCCCCATATCTCCTCCCTCTTGCATCTCCCTCCCACCCTCCCTATCCCACCCCTGTAGGTGGTCACAAAGCACTGAGCTGATCTACCTGTGATATGCGGCTGCTTCCCACTAGCTATCTGTTTTACATTTGATATTACATTTAAGTCCATGCCACTCTCTCACTTCGGCCCAGCTTACCCTTCCCCATCCCCATGTCCTCAAGTCCAGTTCTACGTCTGCATCTTTATTCCTGTCCTGACCCTAGGTTCTTCAGAACGATTTAGTTTTTAGATTCCATATATATGTGTTAGCATACCGTATTTGTTTTTCTCTTTCTGACTTACTTCACTCTGTATGAGAGACTCTAGGTCCATCCACCTCAATACAAATAACTCAATTTCGTTTCTTTTTATGGTGGAGTAATATTCTATTGTATATATATGCCACATCTTCTTTATCCATTAGTCTGTTGATGGGCACTTAGGTTTCTTCCATGTCTGGCTACTGTAATTAGAGCTGCAATGAACATTGTGGTACATGACTCTTTTTGAATGATGGTTTTCTCAGGGTATATGCCCAGTAGTGTGATCGCTGTGTCGTATGGTAGCTCTATTTTTAGTTTTTTAAAGAACCTCCATACTGTTCTCTATAGTGGCTGTATCAATTTACATTCCCACCAACAGTGCAAGAGGGTTCCCTTTCTCTACACCCTCTCCAGCATTTATTGTTTGTAGATTTTTTGATGATGGCCATTCTGACAGGTGTGAGGTGATACCTAATTCTGGTTTTGATTTGCATTTCTCTAATGGTTAGTGATATTGAGAATCCTTTCGTGTGTTTGTTGGCAATCTGTATATCGTCATTGGAGAAATGTCTATTTAGGTCTTCTGCCCATTTTTGGATAGGGTTGTTTGTTTTTTTTGATATTGAGCTGCATGAGCTGCTTGTAAATTTTGGAGATTAATCCTTTGTCAGTTTTTTTCATTTGTAAATATTATCTCCGATTCTGAGGGTGGTCTTTTCGTCTGGTTTATGGTTTCTTTTGCTATGCAAAAGCTTTTAAGTTTCATTAGGTCCCAATTGTTTATTTATTTTGTTTTAATTTCCATTTCTCTAGGAGGTGGGTCAAAATGGATCTTGCTGTAATTTATGTTATGAGGGTTCTACCTATGTTTTCCTCTAAGAGGTTTACAGTGTCTGGCATTATTTTTACGTCTTTAATCCATTTTGAGTTTATTGTGTTCCTGGTGTTAGGGAGTTTTCTAATTTCCTTGTTTTACATGTAGCTGTCCAGTTTTCCCAGCACCACTTATTGAACAGGCTGTCTTTTCTCCACTGTATATTCTTGCCTCCTTAATCAAAAATAAGGTGAC